TTCCAACGAGTGAAGAGAAATCCTTTTGTAATTCTGTCTCCTTTAAAAATTTAAAGATACAAGCAGGATTTTGAAATCCTACGCAATCCCAATTTCCATAATCACTCAAAGATTTATACCAAGAATCTTCGTCAAACTTCGTATTATCGGGCACCTTTCCTCCGATTAACTTTAAACGATCGCTTTGTAAGCAATCGGCATTTCCATTTAAATCTTGGCAAGCAAGACCTACTTTGGCAACTACGGTTCCGGCATTTAGCTTCGCTTCAACTTTATTAGAATTCTTATTAGAAAGTTTTTTTGAAACCTTTGATTCTTTAATATAAACCTTACCACCAAAGATAACTTCAGTTGAATATAATTGACCATATTCCTCAGGAATTAGCTTCAACTTATTTACGTCCTTTGAATTTAAAGCATCTTTTACCGCATCAATAAATTCTTTTCTTGGTTTTAAATATTTACTAAATTCTAGAGAAGCTCTTTCATATTGTGTGCAATGATATGATAAATTAGTCTCAGAACTTGATCTTTCGCTTATTTCGTACGAGATTCCTAATTTCGCGTAATCCTGTGCACTCATATCCGCGAAAAAGTAAAAATTTAAGGACATCATCCATTCTTCATTTGATTCGAATTTATAATTTTTTTTTTTCATTCTTTAAAGTCAATTCGCAATTTGTCATCTCATACGCTTGCTTTTCAGCTTTCTTAATTTCATCTTGATTGATGACACGTCCAAATTCTAAATGACCCTTATCATTTTTTAAGTATCTCCAATCAGGGTTTGAACTTTTTCTTAGATACAAATTGTAGCTTATCGGGTTATCATCATTATTCTTATGTATAATATCTTTCAAATTCCTGGATTTCTCATCTTCTCTTGATATTTGAGAAAAGGTAATATTTTCGTTGTTAATTTTGTTAATTTGATATTTCGCAAATGTTAATGTATTATTAATATTAACCAAACTTTTTTGTTCGAGTATCTTTCGGATATTTGATAAATTATCATTAAGGTTCAACTCGACTGATGTTGAATCTTTTAGTACTTCCACGTGAACATTCACAAATTTTCTATCAGGAATAGATTTAATAAATTTCTTCATTTTAAATTTCGCGATATATAGAATTGAGGATAAAAAGCAAAGGTGAGGGCCAGGAAAAATTATATATATTTTAAAGGAAATTGAAAGGTTAACTTTTTCACCCCACAGATCAATTGATTATTCATCATTGTCAGATATATTGCGATTAACATGAACCATATCTATCAAGCTGGAAATAGCATATACTGTATGAACAAATTCATGAGATGATGGGACATTTCTATCGGACTTTTATTTTAAAATTGGACTTTATTTCCGAACACAGAAACTTAAAAATGATAAATAATTAATTTTTGATACTATTTTTTTTAGTTCGTTATCAATCCAATCTCGTTTCTTCGTAAATCTGTACCAAATTTATAATATTCATATACTGTAAGTAGCAGCAATATAATAACTTAATTATACTTGCGGAACATTTTGACCGCGAAATGGATTATTATCGTGCTCACCCATATGATGTAGACGATCTTGTTTTTAATAATTATGTGATATCATGGAGTCGATACAATCATATATTTAAAGCTAATTATTTCACGGATATCAATGATTTTCATGGCTGCGCCGTGAAAATAATGATATTCATGGAGTCAACCATATTTTACTATTCAAAGTATATAAAAGGTTATTATGTTATACCCCTTTTTTTTATATCCAAGTTTTTTCAGCTGCGCATTAATAAAAGACAACAAAAACACTTCATACCCACAGTCAGGTTGTATTTCCAAATTTAGAAACCAATTCTAATAGAAAAATGTGAAACTTTGATGATCTATAAAATTTTTTTTTTTTCTTCTTTTTTATAAAAACTAATTATTAGAATATATAAGTATGTAGTTTCAGAATCCACAGGGATCCATGAGGTTTTATAAAGCAGTTTTTTCTCAAATTAAAAAGGTTTTTAGTCTAAAATTAATAATGGAACGGACGATCAAATTTTTTGAAATGTAAATATTTTTATCCCAAAGAGTCGTACAAGGATAAAAATACCTTCATTCAATTTGCC